TGTTTTAAAATCTTTCTGTATTTCTTTATTTGTTTGTACGTTTGTTGATTAGTTGGTTTGTTGGTTGCTTGTTTTGTTCGTTGGCTTGGAGTTCTTTTGGTTGGGGGCGGGGGTGGGGGTGTTGTTTCCTATTCACATTTTAACTATGACCCCAGGCACTTGTTACAAGAAGCTAGTCTGTTAGACAATTGTTTAACGAAATCTGGTAAATACCCATACCTGAACACAAAGGTAACTTTTTTATCAAGTTTAAAAATGAGTTTTTATACAGAAGAGTACACTAACTGCGTTGTAGATAGGGGAAAGTGGAGGGAGGGGGATATTACCACCGACAACTTCTTTTCGTATGCTCCGTTGTTTACTTATTTTCCGAACACTGACGTATCATTGCACTAACGTCTGTATTTTAACGGTAAAACACTATGCCACTGCAAGCAGAAAAAGTATTTATATTCTCGTATTGGAAAGTTATGTATCACTATCAAGAGTTTCCATCTGTCTGCTGGAATGTTGTGTCTCGCTCGGCTCGGGTCGGCCCTGGCACGCAACGTCGAGGCAGCTATCTATGGTTGAATGAAATAATAATAGAATGATATGATGATATATTAATATAGTGATGTAATGAATTAATGATATAATAATATAATGATGTAATGATATAACGATATAATGATATGATGATATAATTACATCTTGATAAATTGGTATAATGATATAACGGAAAATGATATAATGATGTAATGATATATTGACATAACGATAACGATATAATGATATAATGATATAGTGATATATTGATATAATGATATCATAATATGATGATATAACGATATAGCCATTGGATGATACATTGATATGATGATGTAACAATGTAACGATATAATGATACAACGATAATGATAATGCTCAACGATATAAAAAATTGCGTCGATGGAAGCGTTAAGCATTTACAGTCATGAGAAACCATTGCGTTGATCTGCTCCTCTTTTCCTCTAAACTTTACCTGCAGTAATGAGAGTTAGCTTCATGGGACACGTGAAGTTTAAAATTTGAAATGTTTCAATCTTGATTTCTTATATATTTTGAGTACTGTGGCCGTTCTTCTTTCATCATTTAGGCAAGTGGCTTGATATCTATTCTTGTGTTGCTATTGATGGCTGAAACTGTTGTTTCTTACTCATTCGTCGCAAGTCATTTTCAGATTGATTAATGTGGTGTGCAAATTCATGGTATCCATTTTTTAAATATTTTTTTGTCTTTATTGTTCTTCTTCTTCAAGTGCCAGATCTGAAGCAGGCGTCGGCGATCACGATATGCCATTCATTTCCCTGCTTGATTATTTTCTAAAAACCAATACTACCTTGGTCTTTTCTAGAACCCCACCCATATGTTCAAGTTCTCTTAGTAAATTGTTCTTAGTCTAAAATTCTCCCATCTCCCACATTATGAACGTCGTACCAATTGGAGGCAACTGCACTCTACAAATATAATTACTTCAGGAAAGAAAATGCAAAATGCGAAATTGTATAAGAGTAATGTCCCTTGCAAAACTGTACGGTTAATTTTAAGAAGCAAGACCTTCGAATTTAACGCACATCTCCCATAGCTCCGAGCCAAATATGATAATCCGTGTAAAGTGCCGTTCCCAAAAGACAAAATGTCGGACTGAGCTGAGCCTCGAAATCTGGACCCACATTCGTACGATTGGGAGTCCTGTAGTCTAACCGCTAGAATACCATTGCTTTCCAGGAACATTTCATTTCCGATTTAAAACAAAAACAAAACAAACCAAAAAATGTGTATTTTTAAATCTTGCTTGTTATTCCAGGTAACGAGGAAGCAGATAATATCCTCAAGATGCTTCTCGCCAATCCGTCCTTTATCGGCCTTGCTTTTGCTCTTACTATGGACAACCTTATACCAGGTAAGTCATGAGGAGAGAGTTTACCCAGGAAAACAATGCATTATGTACCGGCGCATGTTGTGTGGTTGAAGGGCATTTCGCATATCATGCAGAAGACGTGAGTTCGATTCCAGTGTTGGGAAAAACGTTTGTTTGATGGATATATTTTTTTAGTTTAGTATCTCAATCTTTTAGCTAGGACGTGGTGTCCATCTCAGCCTGGGTTGCCCCTGAATGGAAGGGTCGAAACAGCTCGCCTCTTAGATTATCTAAATCCCAGTCGGGGCGTAAAAAAAATCTACAACACAATTCTATCCAACATTGTACTAAATACGCAATGGGGGAAAGGTAACATAGAACAACGTTACATCAAGTTTGCAATGGAAGAAATCTGAACCATGACTTTTTGTTCTTGTTTTCATTAGGCAGTTTACTGTCTTGAGTCTGGGTAATGAGAAGTAAATGGAAACAGTGCTTGTCATTTTGTTCTGTTGAATAGGCAAGAAAGACAAATTGAAAAATTATGGTTAAAAAAAATATTCTCATGGCCTACCAATAACTCCCTTCAACTACCCGCCCATCTGGTGTCTTGCTAAAAAAAAATTAAAAGACACTGAGTAGACAGTAAACTGTAATGCCCGTAAAGCGTCATACGACTAAAAATACAGTACGCATAATTTGTCAACTTTCAAAAATATGATTCCCAAAGATATGATATTCATTATTAGCCTGAACAGCTCGACAACCAACAACAAAATGAACAACAGCTCATTCATTTGGGGCCTCACAAATAGAAGAGAGAGGAGAGGGATGGAGAACCCTGACCGCCAAAATCTGCTCCAGACAAGACACTTAATGATGGTGGCCCACAGGTCACACACAAGATGCAATAATGTTTACTCTTAACGCATATGTCATTGCTTTAAAATTTATCGAGAAAATGGTCGTTTTGTCCTGTCATATACATAAATACATATATAAATAT